TAATAACATTCAATTAATAATTAATTACTTGTCACAAGACACCATCTTGAATACTTTACTTTATTTGGGAAATGCCAAAATATCTCAACCACCAAACATATAATGAAATGACAGAATTTTTCTGATTAACACATTATTATTATAATACATATTTTATTTATTTTTTGTGACAATTGTCACTTACAAAATCTCTTCATTATGGCTTAGTTTGCTAATGAAGATCCATAAAGATTTACTACAATTACTATGCGCTCTCTCACAACTTGTAGGAAAAATTAGACTTAACCCTAAGCTTGAATTTCTTCTTGTAATACAATTTTCTTCAGGATATATCCAATTATGGCTCTCCACAACTTCCGTTACTCTAAAAAAATGTTATTATACCATCCCACAAATTTGTCTTGTAAAATACTTGCTGTCCCTAGCCCCTGCTTTTCTTGCCTTCAGGTATGGCCTGTGAATGTTAAATTGTCTTTAAGATTTTTTTTTTATCAATTCGCCCCAAGCAAGGTGATAATGCCACTATGACGGCAAGGACCTACTGGGAATGAAAGAGAATGAAAAGACTTTAGAATGAACCAGAAACCCAACCAGGAAAAAAGGGATAAGCCTCTACTCTTGCCCAAAAGACCAGGGAGGAGTGTGAAATGGATGATACGTGGACCTATCTACTCCTATTGAAAGAAAAAAAATATAAATAGTAAATAAAATTTCAGAGTTTAGGTGGAGTCATTAGAAATATAGAGTTGAAGTAGAATTTAAAAGGAACTGAAAACCCTATCCTAAAAAGGGAAACCAGGGATAAACTGCTACTATGTATATATCAGTTTCTTTGTAGTTCCTATTTTCCTTTAGACTTCCTCATTACTCACATGTTCTGTCTGTAGCATTCTCAGCATTCATCTGTAGAACCACCTCCTTGTCACTTTAAGTATCTTCTTCATCTCTAAAGGAGATAGTCTACTGTTTCCTGTCATATGGAAAATTAGCTATCTGTCTATATTTCTGAGATGAGGTATTATGTACAGTATTTACATTATTTAGACTATTGTCCTCATCTTTGTCACCATATTTATTACAACGTTTCGGCCGTTGTATGCACCAGTCTTCTTCAGTTGGTTGGAATGTTGAACTGTTTATTTCACTCACTGTGGTAGACTGTTCTAGTTCCACATGCCATGTCTAATGGATGTCAGTTATCAGTTATCTCCTGTTAATTCCCCTCTCCAAGTTCTCCACTCCCTTAACCTTGTATGGGAAATTAGCTGTTATATAGAAGTTTTTATTTCTAAGGATATTATCATACTATTTTTTAATACTTTGCTGAGCTTCTAGAAGGCATATTTCACCATTCTTGTGTATATTCAGATTTCTATGTCACATTTTCCATTATCTGTTACAACACTATTTAATTTTTTTTAACTGTTTGATTTTGACATCCCTAATATGTAGCTTACACTTTGGGCTGTCTTTTTAACTGATAATTATGCATTCTATTTTCCTATCATTAATAATTAGTCCTTTCTTCTTGCTTTCCTTTACTAAGAGTTCTGTTTCCTTTCTAAGTCTTCTATCAATACAGCATCATCTATGTGGATACACATTATTGACACCACTCTTTAATACAAGGCATTGATATTCCATGGTCTAACTACATGCGTTATTAGCAGTAAGATCCTGTGATTGTACATTTATTTTTCCTAAGCTGATGGCCAAGTTACCATCTGTAGGTTTCTGTGCCCCTTCTGAAGTAGCAGTTTGACAATGTAATGTGTACAATTTGACTCTCTTCCTGTCCTTATGAGGTAGAATTGACACCCTCCAAACAACAGTATAACACAAAACAATGAGAATATTGAGGGAAATACAAGAGGTTTGAGATTTACTATCACTTGATCTCTAGTGTAACCGACCAGTTACTTTTTTTTTTTTTTTTTTTTTTTTTAAATGTCATATCTCTTTAAAACCTAGGCATGCATAACTCTTCTTTTGTTTATTATCTGTGAATTGCCATGCAGTCTTGGAAAAGATGGAGTGGTTTCCTATTACCTTTTACACAGTTTGGAATTCAGAGTTTTCCTTCTCTTAGACTGGTTACCACTCAAGGTTATAGAACCCAATCTATGCTGCTATTTAACCCATAGTTGAAGGGAGAAGAGATGAGTCTGTGTTTGTCTAAAGTTCATAAGTGCAAAACTGAACAGTACTCTAGAATTTGAGTTTGGCTTGCAGAAAGTGGAATCACACGATCTGTGCTGATATTCATCAAAATATATGCATATATCCCTATTAGTTATATAGTTACTATATATGTGTGCTGGAAGAACCATTTTCTTTAAATTTTCCAAAGTATGCAGGCTTGTAGACAAAATAAATACTGTTTAAAATAAACTGGTTGTCTACTCAAATACAAGTATCCACTAAAAATAACATTTGAAGTAATAAAAATATGTCAGATTAAAAAATAAAATCCATTAATTCTTGAGAAATTGCTTTGTATATGTTTTGTATATGAAACTGAGCAGATATGCATTTGGAGAAAAATCTAAACAAGTGAGAATGCTTTAAAGACAAAATCGAACCTTGATTTATTGTAAAACTCATCATTACTTCTTCGATGTAAAATATAAATTATATAAACAGAGCCAATATAAGAAATATAAAAAAAAAATGATCAAATATTATTGCCTTTCCACAACTTAGTTTTCAAATATGGAATTGAGTATCTTGTCTCTTGAACTGCTTGGAGATTGTGAGGCATAACAAACTGGGAATCCATCTGAAACTTTAAATTGTGAAAAGGCAACAATATTTGATTTTTTTCCCATGCATATATATATATATGAAAGTTTCTTTTCTGTTCACTATAGATAAGTAAATTACTTCATGAAGAACCCTCAAGTTGATATGTATACTTATTGGACCCCCCCCCCATACTTCCTGGTGGAAAAAGCAGGTGGTTTTTCTAGAAATCTTTCTTAGTCACAGATACTGTTTATAACTGTTTGAAGAAGAAAAATATTTGTATGCTTTGAAAAAAAAAAACTTCAATGGATAATCCTCTCATAATAGTTTCTACTTTTTGTTGTATTTTTTCAGTCAATAATGACAATGGCAGTTTCTTTTTATTAACAAATAACATTGTAAAATTGACATATTTTACCATTATCTTATTCCTAAAGGACAGAGTTTTGTTAATAGAGCAGAAAGTTCTTTATACACTTGTGATAAAACCACTATAGACCTGTATGTAATTCAAATAATTGTAAAATATTTGCAATATTGGAATGATGAAGGATGAAAGCATTGTTATTTTTTCATTTGCATTCATTCATAGAAAGAAAAAAAAACCTTTAAACTCTGGTCTCTAAAAAGAATGGCTTTTGATTGTACTCAGAATCTGTTTGGTAGCTTATGTCACTGTGTAAGATGATAGAATCTGTGTATATTAATGGAAAATAGGTTTTGTATGTTTTATTAGACTTGCTTATCTCACTAAACTTTACATGCAACTTGTAAATGTTTTACTGTTGCACTAATATGACAAAGTAACTAGTGTTGTTAGATTGAGTATATATAATATATAGTAACTATAGTAGTAATAAAAGATTTGTAGGTGAGTTATAACACTGAGTAAATAATTATAAACCCCCTGACATTTACATATACAAAAATACTTATAAAAATGAGAAACTGTTAAATGAGTATTATTTATTATCTGGTTGTTATGTGGTATTGGAAACACAAGAGAAAGTAATCCTGAGTAAAATTGTGAAAATGTAAATCAAATATGGATCAGAATCTGACAGAAGGATAAGATAAAGAATAAGCCAAGTCTTTCTCATATGTTTTTTTTATAGATGTGTGTAATGAGAGTACAGATAATTGGAAAAATACAAGTGTCTGGGGTTTTCTTACTTTGAATATTGAGTACTAAAAGATAAATGTTACTATTATGGCTTGGAAAAGGAGTTGAAATTTTTGTTGATGCCTATTTTGATGACCTGTCTGTGTGAACTGCTTGTCTGATATTGAGAATGTCAGTTGTTTGTGTGTGTAGAGCAGAAAAATGAGGTCAGTTCTCATTGGTTTAGAAAGAATGAATTAATTATAATTATTATAATATACTTGTTTTTGACACTATAATCAATTTTCATCTATTTCTTTTATAGACAAGATAGGCTAAAGGAAACAATAACTAAAATATAAGTATAGCAGAGAAAATATAGTTGGTATAATATCAGGACATTATTTCAAAGTGGTCCCACACTATCAGGGTTCAAAGAGAATTATCAGGCTATTGAAAAAGTCAATTTTCAAGGAATTTTCTTATGCAATTTGACATCATATGACATGTTCATTATGTGCTTTTATTTTTTTTTTTTTTTTTTTTTTTTTTTAAATTGAAAACTGTTATTTATGTGATAAGTATTTATTTTCTATGATTGTTAAAATTTAAATAAATATGTGTTCATCTTTTTAACTATGCTCCAGCATAACAATGTACTTACTACTGTCTGTCTTCTGTGTTATGTCACAAAATTAGGGAGTTTCAATGGAATTTTTCAAATTATCAAGGAATTTTATTCAATGATTAGGCTGGGAAGCTTGACAATGCAAACATCAAATGGACACACAGTACAAAACTCAATAAGTAATCATAAGGTTAGTACAGAGGTCAGAGGGAAGATGTCCCCAGAAACAAATACACACAAAAATGAATATGACATATGGGGGGTAGAGATGTGTATACAGTTCCTCTTCCCATCTGATGTTGGTTTCATCATTCTAGAACACAGCAAACATCCAAGAAAGGTCAAAGGGTATAGAACCAAAATTTTGTGAAAGATATAGATGAGGAAATTAGTGTAAAGAAAACTACAGATATTGAATAAAATATAGAAATGTTTAGTCACATGGCAATCAGCTCTGGTAAAGGTGAATCTAAAGGTATAGGTATCACCTTACCTTCTACCATCTACTTCTGGACCAATTTAATAATGAGAAAGCCTGACTCTCTCTCTCTCTTTCTCTCTCTCTCGCCGTGTTTCTTTTAATTCAATCCATTATTTTGTTATTGTGAGGACCTGAGTAGACATTGTTTTCGTTTGTAGATTAACCTATGATCAAACAACTCTATTCTCAGGCTTAATTACCTGTGCCCATGACAGGTGAGAAAGTAGATATTACCTTTGTGTTATTGACTATCCCTCTTAGGTATGTTGTGCTACTTGAAAAAGTAAGTACACAAAAACAGTTCAATGACCAAGAAAGGAAGGAAGAAGAATGTCATGAGAGAAGCAGCCAGTTGGGCAAGAGTGTCACAATTTCCGCTTTTAATTGTCACTTTTATGATTTGCGATCATCACTCATTCTGAGTTCAAGTGGACTTTGAACAAAATTTGACATTTTATTGACTTTTATCTGTTTCTTCAAAATCTATTAAAAAAATAAAATTTTGATAATCTCATATCACACAAAAAAGAAAATATGAGTTTATACTTTTCACAATTTTATAAGCTTCATTTGAATGAGCCATATTTAATGATAGTATGACACAAGGCCAAAATCTAGGGTATCCAATGAGAACTGAACATGCTGCTGTATAAATAGCTTGCAAGACTAGCTTGCTAAATCTAACTTGTTAGTTATGAAGTTTAAGTTAGCCTGACACAAGGCTATAATAGTTAAGCACTCTGTGAAGATTGAACTCTGCTTAAAGATTTGGTGTATGAGATGCTAAAAATCTCCCCCCCCCCGTTACAATTGGTATTCATAGATATTTTATTTAGTTATATTTGGTCACAAGTGTTAAGTACCTTGTGAGGTTAGAACTCATTACATAATAATGATCTATCTTGCTAACTTGCTAACCACTATTCCATGGCAAGTTGATCCACTGAATTTTATGTTCACTGTAAAAATTAGTATTGCAGATTCTACCAAATCTGGTTCTCTTCAAAAACATGCATTTCTAGTTCTGTTGGCACCACTGAAGGATAATTACTGATGCTTAAGTTTTATAATTGAATTTTCACTGATAACTTTTATTTTGCAACTCTGTGTCTGATAAAACGAGTCCATATAATTTGTGAAATAATAACAATGACTTCTATGAGAATTTCAAACAGTATTGATGCTGATTGTCTCTTGATACTGTGAAAAACTGAAGTTGAGTCATTGGGAATTGAGGTTTTGAGAAGTGATTCTGCCTGATGAAAGAATTCGAAAATATTAATAATTACAAAAATAAAAGGCAAATCTAAAATAGGTTTTTGCCAGGAATTCTGGAGGTGAATGAATTATTTACACTTGTCTGAAGAACTCTTTGAATAATAATGATTGTGCTTAGGACTTCAGACAACAATGGGAAGGCTGAAGAATTGAATCTCCAAAATGTTGTTATAAAAACAACAAGGATAGAGATATTTGTCTTAATAACTTGTGGAATAATAACTCTGCTAATAATTTCAAATAGTAATGTCAACAAAGGTGACTGAATAATCACTTGAGTAATTTAACAACAACATTGCGTAAATCATATTGTATTAAAATATTTCTTTTTATCATGATCTCATCTTTCATACATTTGGCACATTTTGAGCCGCTGTGGTCACCACTTCTCTCCATCTTCCAATTGTGGTTCATGGTGACATTCAAGGCAAAAGAGTGCAATGGCTTGCCGGTTACTTTTGCACCGCTACTGTGGCCATCACTCCCTTCCATCTCACAACTGTGGTTCATGGTGACATTCAAGACGAAAGAGTGCAATGGCTTGCTGGTTCCTTTTGCACTGGGGATGTTGAAATTACTTTATCCCTCCTCTTAGAAGTTAAACATGCAAGACCTACAAGGCAGAATTCAGAGCTTTCCTTGTAGATAGTTTGCCAACCAAGACCATCTGTCCTGCTATTTATTCATAGCTGGTTGGAGGGAGAGATGGATTCATGCCTTTCCCAAGAATATTAGCATGTAAGTGAATGCAATGAACTCAATTGGAATTTGAATTCAGCTCTCCAATTCCTCAGTCTGATCTGCTATCCATTCTCCATGCCTCTTTTTATATTTGCATAAAGACTTAACTCCTCATCTCATTCTTAAATTTTGCAAATCTGTGTCCGACAGATTTCATGAATTTCTGTAATGTTTGTAGCGATAAAGATTTTCTTTTATTTTCAGGTGTTTTATATTCAAGTCTGGATGTCTGGCAGATACAATGCTGTGGAACGGAGATACACAGAATTTGAAGAATTACATAAGCAGGTATGTCTTAAAATGGTTTCTTCAAACCTGAGTAGGTATTTTGTCCTTTTGTTTTTAGAACCTTAATCCAGGAAGTTTGGTGTGGGATAACAGAATTGGTGAACAAAATTAAAATTTTGGCCTTTGAGAAAGGAATGAATCCACTTCTTCCTGAAATTCATCCCATTGTTAGATTTCTTCACAAAAAATATCTTGTTGCTAGTATGCCACATTGGTCAACTAAGAGAATAGGAAAGTAAACATTTAGGCAAACCACTCTACCATCACTACCTGCCCAGGCAATTGCAGTAAAAATTTATTACTCCAGTTTCAACCTCAATTCCATAAGCTGAAGTTCTTTTCAATCCTTTTAGTCAATTATTGCATGCAATAAAATATTACTTGGGAATATTCAATCATAAAAATAAATAAAAGAAGTAAAAATATAATGATGAAAATATTTAATCTCAAAAAATAATTTAAATAAATAAGTTAAAGCATAAAATTTTGCTCCATGTCAAAAAAAAAAAAAGGAAAAAAAAAAGAGAGATAACGTTAGTGTTACTCTTATTGTCTTAAGTTTGTAGCCTGTTCAGGGGTTATAGGGTCATCACATGTGTTGCAGCCATAACAATAGTGGCATTCTGAAGATAAGATGTCCTGACAAAGCTCATCAATTCTTCAGGTTGGTTTAGAATTAAGAATTTTTCTTCTTCTAGACTGGTTGCCACACAAGGCTAGAGATCCCTGTGTGACACCATTGAAAAAAAAAATGGAAGACAGAAAAGCACTGGTTTCTGATAGACTGAAGATATACTGATGACCAGACAAAGGAAAATGAAAGAAAAGGATATTTGTTTTTAATTGAGTAAAAAAAAAAAAAAAATTAGAAGACAGAAAAACATTAATTACTGATAGACTGAAGATATACCAATGACCAGACAAAGAAAAATGAAAGAAGAGGATATTTGGTTTGTTTTTTTTATTGGAAAAAAATAACTAGAAAAAGTTAAATTTCTCATCTGCTGGAGAGGTTAAATGAAGAGACCATTTGGTTTTAGTTAGAACTGAAATTAAGTGATTAGCTATTCTGGAGCTCCAAGGACCTCCCAGAAGAAATAGATGATATTTTTACAATCATTGAATGACTGAGAGGAAGTCTGACTTCTGGCTGCAAGTTCACTCAATTAACTTTTAAAAGCAGCGGGGTTCCCAGAAGAACATATGTGGAGAATGACAATTAAGTTTTTTCATCTGCCGAAATGTGAAAAAACTTCCCAAAATCAAGGGATTGTTTCCTTTTTGTCACTTGTTGGCCAAAGGGTTGAGGAGGGGATAAAAAAAAAATGATAAATCCCTGGTGTGAAAACGACCACACACAAAAGCACGATAAGAAAGAATTTTGAACGATAATTAAAATTTAGCTGTTTGGACTGGACCACTCCTAGCCCTTGGTGGTTGGGTTTGATGAGTTGACCAAGGAGGAGAGTGCCCAGGTGGAATTTCAGGGAAGGCGGAGGATTTTTCATGACCCTTGGGCAGTGAGGGTGAGAGGCACTCGCACAAAGCAGGAAGGTAGAATTCCAAGGTAAGAGGTGAGACTCCCTCATATTTAGACAATTGCTGGGAGAACCCTGATTGGTTGTTTGGGGAATGAGGGCATTCTCAGAGCACATCATGCCCCATGCGCATGGGTCCATAAAAACAGAATGCTGAGTAGATGAAAATGGACGGCAGATACACCGTGGGGAGACACAGCAGAGAGTGATTGTGGAGAGGAGACCGAGCAGGATGAGAACAACTGCTTCGCCGGATCTCATTTGATTTGTCACTCTGAAGTAAGAGCCTCTGACTTAAAGCCTTGTTCTAGAAGTCTCATTTAGAGCCATAACAGCAAACAGTGTGTCACGATAATTCAGAAGGGTTGATAGTTATTGTATGGAGAATATAAAATATGCTTAAGGCATCAATAACTGTACCCTTAACCTTGTATCAAGGAAGTGTATATAAATATTTTTTTCTTCTATCCAATTTATTTTTTTTCTTTTGTGTGATTTTACTGTCATTGATTCCATTTGACCATTTGGACCAAAAGCCAGTCTTGCGATCAATCAACACAATATAGGACAAGGCAAGACTTAACTCTACAATCAACTGAAGGGGATCGAGCTTGAATATGGAACAGCTGGGGTAGACATCATACCTGTTTACCCTACTATTATTGACTAATTAGCAGAAGAACATAGAATAAAATCCAATGACACAATAACAGATAGGAGTCTGTCTTTATTATTATCCTTTATTATGTAAATAATAATAATAATGGATAAAAAGGGGAAAAAAACTTCCTATATCATTATTACATATTTTTTGTTCTTCAAACTGCAAGTCTGATTTTTTTCTGTTGTTTTATTTATCAAAGCAAATTTGGCATTGTTGCAAGCATACTTTGCACAAAGGTAGTGTTGAAAATTTCTCTGCCTAACCAAGAAAATACAATGTTTAGTCATTTGGTTAGATTTTGGAAAATAGTTTGGGCGAGGAACTTTTCAACACCACATTGCCAGTATAAATACGTTTACTCATGCTATTTCTTAACTGTATTATTTTACTTTTTCTGTTATTATTGTTATTTCTCTCCATTCCTATTCTTTTTAACAACATAATTGCAATGCTTAAATAACAGGTTAAGGACTTGATTTAACTGCTTTGCTTGCCATGGATATAAACACCTTCTAAATATGGTCAAAGGAATGAGAAAGCACACAGAGGAAATGTTTTTAAAGTTTTACATCTGGAATTACTGTAGTATCAGTCTAAAAAGTTGAAGTATGAGATGAAAAATTTTCCTGAAAAAGGCCAAAGTGTTGTTAAAAATACCAAAAGAAAAAAAATGTGGATATAAGTAAATGTTTACTTTTTCTACAAAATATTATTCTGAAAGGTTGTAATTGCTATCACGTGGGATATGTTTATCACATCATGGAGTTAATAATTATTCTCCTTAAAGTTAGCCAACAACTGTTTGGAATTTTTATTTTTTTTAATTTTTAATGATTTTTATCAAATCTTTTTTCCATTTTGGTGTGTGATGAAATACTTAATCTTCCTGACAATGAGACTTGATCTCCTTATTTCAGTACATCATACAATGATATATGAGTGGAACTTTGTTATTGATAAATTCTGAAAATGAACAGATGTGGGAATGATAATGTGTCAGTGAGCAACCAGCAGTCATCCAATGAAATCAATAAGTTTCTCTGATTCACATCAGATTTTATTCTAATCACTGCTTTCTGTTTTGTTTTTTCTCTTTCTTTTTTGCTCCCTCCCTCCCTCCCTCCCTCTCTGTCTTTTGCTAAACTCTCTCTTTTGCTCCCTCCTTGCCACTCTCCCTTTTTTGCTTTTCACCCCTCTCTCTTTTCTCACCCCTCTCTCTCTTTCTCACCCCCTCTCTCTCGCCCTCTCTCTCTCTTTCTCCCTCTTGCTCTCTTTCTCACTATCTTTCTCACTCTCATTATCTTTCTCACCCTCTTTCTCTCCCCTCTTTCTCTCGCTCTCTCCCCTCTTTCTCTCTCCCTTTTCTCTCCCTCTTTCTCTCTCCCCTCTTTCTCTCTCCCCTCTTTCTCTCTCCCCTCTTTCTCTCTCCCCTCTTTCTCTCTCCCCTCTTTCTCTTGCTCCCTCTTTCTCTTGCTCTCTCTTTCTCTCGCACTATCGCTCTCTTTCTCTCGCTCTCTCTCTCTCGCTCTCGCTCTCTTTCTCTTTTTCTCTCGCTCTTTACCTCTCTCTCTCCTCTTTCTCTTGCTCTCTCTCTCCCCTCTTTCTCTTGCTCTCTCTCTCCCCTCTTTCTCTCGCTGTCTTTCTCGCCCCATCTTTCTCTTGCTCTCTCTTTCTCTTGCTCTCTTTCTCGCCCCATCTTTCTCTTGCTCTCTCTTTCTCGCCCCATCTTCCTCGCCCCATCTTTCTCTTGCTCTCTCTTTCTCGCCCCATCTTCCTCTTGCTCTCTCTTTCTCGGCCCCTCTCCCTCTTGCTCTCTCTTTCTTGGCCCCTCTCCCTCTTGCTCTCTCTTTTCACCCCCATTGCTATCTCTCTTGCTCTCCTCCCTTTTCTCTTGCTCTCCTCCCTTTTCTCTTGCTCTCCTCCCTTTTCTCTTGCTCTATATATTGAAATTGGACAATTTCATATTTATAGAATGTTATTTTGAGAAATATGCTTGTAGGTAATCAAAATTAGATTGCAAAATTGCTGGAATATCATGATGAAAAGATGTGGCACCTTCGGGGCTCTTAGTCCTTGGTAGTAGCAACCAAATACAATTGTTCTCTGGTCGTCTAAGACATGTAACACCGCAGCTGGTCACTAAATGTAACCACACCAATCCTGACCTTGCCCTATCCCACATTGTGTATTTTTAAGATCATACGGCGGTCAGAGGTGAATGACTGTCAGAGTCTCATGCTAAGTTGATCCAAGGAGTGAACATATACAAATTATAAAACTAAGTAAGATGACACACGGATAGAAAAATAATAAAGTTCAATTTATATCAGTTCTCTTTTTTTGTATAGTAAATATTTTCCTAACCCGTCTTAATTGTGTGTGACACTTAGGCAAATTCTTGTAGCTGAATTACGAAATTCTGTTTTTTTGGTGTTGAGGTTGTTTCTGCTTTTTGGAGTCAGTGCAGTCTGTATTAATTTCGTTGGTACAAGGGTGAAGTTAGCTTTGGTTCAAAGTCGGAGTTCTTATAATTGGTAGGAATCACATGGGCAGTCTCAGTGAACTGGTTGCTCTGCAAACAAATCACAAACAAGCTCTAGACAAATTGCAGACAAACTAGATTCTTGGCCTCGTGTGTTTGCTTATATGGACTCTTGCTCAATACCGGAGTGGGACAAGACACAAGATGGAGTTTCAGTGATTCTCCTAAATCCTATAAATGTCCATTGTTCAAAAATTTATTACACACACAATTTTAGTAAGACCTCCTCTCTTGCAAGGAATGGTTCCAGGATATCGATCCGCCCATACTCCTTCTCTCATCTATTGGCATCTTACACCAGTACCCGTCGAATGGCATTAATAAACTCTCCACCTCTCTTGATGTCTTATTTATGCCTGTCACTATGGTTACCACCTGTCCAATGGCTTTCCAGTCATCTTGGAACAACTTAATTAGAAGAACTTATCTCTTTGGCATTTTGCTTACATAGGGTTTTCTGGCTTGCACAATTAAGAATTAAGATTATCATTCAGAAATTTTGCCTACACAGCTTTTTCTCAACTTGTTAAAATTCATATATTCAACACATGGCCTTTTTGACTGGTCGTTCCCTGAATTCTATACTTGTTTATGAAGAATCTCTATTCTCCATTTCTGGATGGCAGATCATATCTTCGTCGACCGTGCTTATTCCATATTCTGAACCAGCACTTTTTAACATCCATCATACATCAATGCCAAATTGGCATTTCCTATTTTTTTAATAATACTGAGAAGCTCTTGTTCTCAGTCCCAGGTTTCTCGATCATTTCCTTGTTGAGGTGCTTATCTTGATGTTTTCATAACTGGCACTTTTATGACCTCTCGTAATTCATTACTGCAACTTGTCATACTGCTTTTCCATAATTTTGTTTCTTACGCAGTTTCTCTATTAATGAGCAATTAAATCTTTTTCTAAAATGCAAATTCTCTTTATCTATATCAGTATGTTTGTTGGTATAGCTTTTAACCCTTTATTTTCCAGTTCAAGTATTTTCCAATGTTAGATAGTGTCACAAGAAAATAAAAATATTTGTACTTATGAAAGTATTTAATCTTCAAAAATGAATGTTGCTTATTGTGAGTTATAATTTATGAAACAGAACAGGAAGAATGAGCTTGTGTATGAAAACTAAAGATGAGATCAATTTCTGACTATGGCTGAGTATTGCTTGAAGCCACTTATTTAAAATTCACAGAATTTAATTTCATAGTCAACAAATAGGATCAAGTTAGAAAACAAAAACGGTAAACAGCATTTGAATGTCTAATTTGAATAGATTCTTTGATTAACTTCTGATCTATTTCTTATAAGGTGCTGCTGAAAAGTTCTCAGCCTAAACAACAAGCTAAGCCCCCACACCCGCCCCACAAAATTTTGATATTTGGCCAGTTTTGGGCTCTGTTTATGATTGGACATTGAAAGCTCTTGATCTGAGTCAGTTCCTAAAAGCTGACTAAATCAAATGGCCAAACCTCATTTTTATTTGGCAGGGAGGTGTGCAGTGAAAACTAGTGTGTGTATGTGTATTGGTGAGTTGATTTGTTTCCTATATGCTTATTAACCCTTTGACATGTCATTTAAAGCCAGAACATATTTTTTAGGTAATAATGGTTTAGTGATACAAGTCTTACTAATTAACCCATAGCTGGGGAGAAGAACTGAATTCATACCTTTTCCAAGGGTATCTGTGTGTAAGTGAATATAATGAACCCAATGGGAATTGGAACTCAGATCTCTGATTAACAATTCTGAGCCATTATCCATTACTCCACTTGCACATTCAAGCTTACAGCACCTGGTATTTCCAAGCCATCACTCATCTAGGTACTGTCCAAGCTTGACATTGCTTCACTTCAGTGATTGTATGGTAATTGATGTTTCAATGTAATGTGGCCATAAGCCTATAAGTGTGTGCATTTAGAGATTTCAAATATGTTTTATTGAAATATATTAAGACCAGGTCTATCTGTTTTAATTTCTTTTTTATTATGTTTTGACTATTTATATATTTGTCACAGGAGGCACGGAGTAATGGATAGAGGTTTGGATTGAGGAATCGGAGAGCCAAGTTCAAATTCCAGTTGGATCTATTATATTTATTTATGTGCTAATACCTCAGTTATGGATAAATAGCAGGAAAGACTGGGTTCTATAACCTTGGGTGTCAATTGGTTTAGGAGAAGGAAAAAAATCTGAATTCAAAACTGGCCTGGAGAGGGTTGGGCTCCGTCAGGTTATCTTGCTCAAGAAACACCATTTCTACTGCAACTGTAGTACACATGGTGCCCCTACAGCCCTACGGGTCATGGAATATATATATGTGTGTGTGTGTGTGTGTGTGTGTGTGTGTCAAACATCCAGCTTCAATTAATAATAGGAATTTTAAAAAAACAAAACATGAATTCTTATATATAGATTAAGTGTTGAAGAGAAGAAAAAAAAACAGATTAAAATAATAATTATAAGCCATGAAATGAGTTTGCAGAAGGCTATCAGAAGATTTGAACCTGAAAAGAACCAACTAGAATTTAAGTTTTAGTAAGACTAGTGTCCCTGACCTACCCAGTTACTCTCAGGGCAGTATCATAAATTTATGGTTTAGTATTTCATTTCCGAGATGAGTAATTGTAAATATACTTTTATTATTTTGAGCTGGTGTTCTCATCTTAGTTGATATAGATGTTATTATAGACACAATGTTTCGAACAAGTGCCTTCTAGTCATCATCATTGTTTGGTTGATATGAGATATCTGTTGTTTATATTATTTTATTTCTGTGATGTCACTTATTGTCTTCTAAAATTTCCCAAATTCCCAAAAATAATTCTTGTTTGGTTTATTTAAAGCACTATTAGACACCCAAATTAGAATGTTGTTACCAAAATTCAGTCAAGAGTTTTGGCTTGACTTCATTCCAAATAAATCCATCTGTTGTGAGACAAAGAGAGGTCATGAATATCTTATCAAAAAGCATGCAAAAAAAAAACATCAAAGCCAGAGATGCACAAATTTCCTTATATAAACTGGACAGGTGAAAACCAGGATGAGACAGACAGAACCAAAAAGAGAGAAGATGGTAAGAAGATAGGTTCCTTATAAACCTCTCCTGCCATTGTCAAACTCATTTATACAAGCCCAATAAAGAAAAATAGAGTGCCAGGACGAAGGTATTTTAAAAAAATACTGCTAGAATAATTTTCTTGTCAAAAGATTATCTACCAAGCTACATAGAAAGATTAATGATGCTTTAGTCCTTTTATACTATTAAATTTTTTTTTGTTTTCATTAAAGCCATTGTTAGTTATCAACAGAGTATGTTGGTTTGTGCTGTGAAATTGGTTTTCAGTAGAGACAAAGATGTTACCATGGCTGCAGAGTTTTCCCACCTGAAATATCCACAGTCATGACAACCTGGCAAAATCCCAATATGAACCGAGTTATATCTCAATTTGCTGATGTTGACATGAAATGGCTGTGAAGATCAAAACACTGCCAAGTGAGGATGCTAAGAATATTATGTTTTTGCTATCACTGGGATAGGAACAACATATTGATGAAAGTTATAACTTAAATGATTGTCAGGATACCATACTGGATCTTTCTTGATATTTCTCAAGACAATGGTAGTCACTTGGGAGAGTAATGAAATTTATAAACAGAAACTACTTTATTTGGGTAAAATTTATTTAATCAATTTAAAAAAAAAAAAAAAAAAACTGTAACAGAATCATTTTATTGTATGTTGACATTTGTTTTTGTTTTTTTTACTGCAAATTGTTTGGTGAGTTTTTAACAGAATGATTTAATCTTTTTTTTCTTTATCTTTCAAGTTGAAAAAACTTATGGTCACTCCAGAATTTCCGCCCAAGAAAATGTTGAAATGGAATCTGAAGGTTTTAGAACAAAGAAGACAAGGTCTTCAAACTTACATCCAGGTATGCAGGAATTTGTTGCCCATAGTCATTACTGGAATCTTGTTATTTGGTTGACATGGATAGTGTAAATAATTGGTTGGTTCCAATGGCTACCTTGTCTGAATGAGGCTAATTATGTGGAAGATGTATGTTAAGATGAGTGTACAGTGATTTATACATAGAAAGAAACTTGAGGCAGGAGAGACGAATGTTGATGAATGTGACAAAACTGAGTATTTTTTATATAAGACATGAAACCGAGTGAACAAGAAATAAATTTGTGCATTTCCCATAAATTAAATGCAATAGACTCAGTTAGAATTTGAACTTGGCTTACCAAATGATAATTGTTATATCTATAGATCAATTATTTTATATGAAGGTGTATCAAAAAGTCTATAGCCTATTATCTGAATTGACCTGAATTTTTTTGCTGTATAATGTTTGTGTCATGAGATATTCAGAAATTTAATACAGTCATAAAGTGGTTGATTGACTTACAATGTACATATAAAACATGTAAAACTGGACCCTTACTTTGTGTTCATTTTGCAATCTCTAATATTCAGTTTACAATATATGCTAATTGTAAATGTACATTACAAATCCATCACACACAAAAATTTGTATGGTATCTTAGAATTTGATTTTCATTAATTATCCTGTATATTTATTGTCTTCTGTCTGACTAAATTAAGCACAGTAAATACATGTCATTAAGCCTTTAATGACAACCTTCCTAAAGATGGTATCTAGATAAAAACACTCAGCATATTTGGACTACCATGAGTTGGGTGACAGGAAGAGCATCTGGCCTTATAAAATTTTATCTCAAATCATTATGACAAAGAATTCTCTGACAATCAGAATCCACCTTATTTTGTGCAAGATTAATACTGGTTCTGCCTCAACCAAAAACACTGTAATTATGATGATGATGAGTTGTTTTTTCAAGAATTATCTGATTGAATCTTGCCAATCTCTAACCTAATCTTTTTTCTCTTGTCATTTTAATTTTTGAATTTCTTCATTCAGACCGTGTGCCAGACTGCCTGCAACAATGGTTACATTCCTCCTGTCCTTTTTGAATTTCTGGAATTAGAACCTTATGAACCAGGATTTGAGTAAGTCTTTTGATTCTAACAATATGTGCATCTTCTGTCTTTAAATCAACTAGGATTTTTACACTTATGTAAGCATCAAGAGAATGGTAACAAATATACAGACTTGACTATGTTCTTGGTCATATTGTATCAAGTATCAGAGCCTATGTATGAGAAATATGAGTTCAATTCCTGACTGGAGAAGAAAGAACCATATTGGAACAGTAGTTAGCAAGAATATCTCACAGACCAATACTATTTTGTAGTGAGTTTGATTTTCACTAATTATCCTGTATATTTATTGTCTTGTGTTTGATCAAATTAATCATAGTAAATATATGTGTCTCATCAATGTCATTGACTATTAGTCAGATATACCTGTGATGTCATAAAAAGTAATTTAACTTTCTCTGTTGCTTCTTAAAGATCTGATAATACAAATTTTATTCATTTATTTATTATTTTTTAAATGATTTCATTTATGGATGATTTTGTTGTATAAACAAATGATGATTGAATTGATGATGTGTAGTCACTTTAGGTAAAAAATTAGCAATGATTATTATCTTCATAGATAAAGAATGTCTCCTATGATGAGTTCCATTATATCAGTTAGGATTCAATTCTCAGTACTATTTTATTTTTGTTCTTTAATAATATCAGAGTGATTAATAATCTTAAAAGAATAATAAGAAATTGTATAAGAAAAATCTGATGGGTGGGAGTGGACTTGCTTGCTGGAATAGTTGACTAATTTTGTAAGTAGGCATGCCTTCCCTGTTTCGATGATGGCTGCAACTGAACTTTCTTTCCTGTATCTCCCAATATTTGATCATGTTCTACAGTAAGGCTGTCCTAAGGGAGCTTGAGACCCTACCAGAATTTATCATCAGTAGATGCAATCTTGACTATAATATATGCAGATGGCACTGTGTTAATGGCAAGCACAGAAAGAAAACTACATGATCTCCAAGACAAGGTAGTGAAGGAAAGCAAGAAGAAAGGATTAATCCTCAACTGTAAGAAAACAGAATGTAGGGTTGTTAGTAAAAGAGACAGCCAAAGATACATTCTACAAAATTGAGATGTCAGAATCAAGCAAATACAGAAATGTAGTGATTTAGTAAATGTTTTAACAGATGACAAAAATTGCGCCTCAAATCTAAAGGCGCTTTGGAATAACAGAAGATGCCTTCGAAAAGCTAAGCAAAGTACAAAGAAACAGTAACAAAGAAAAGAGTGCTGAACTGTTATGTAATATCACTCTGCTTATATGACAGTGAATGCTGGACAACTTTATTACATCTAAAGAGAAAACTGGATGCAACAGAAATCTGGTTCTACAGAAGGATGTTGAGAATACCATGGATGGACTAACAAAGAAGTCTTAAGGAATATGGAAACAAAAAATAACTCTGAATCAGAAAGAGACAACTGAAATTTTTAGGTCACATAATGAGGAATGTGGGCTCAGAAAATTTGACACTCACAAGTTATATTGAGAGGAAAAAGGACAGGAGAAGGCAGTGGGCCCATCTGCCTGACAAAATTATATGAATGGATGGCAAAAAGAAAAACGTTACAAAGAATATGAAGTTGTGGAGAGCCATGATCACTCACATTCTGAAGGGACACTACACATAGAAGTCATCATATCAGACAATGAAAATTTTGTTTGTATCAACTGTGCACATCTTTCTGCTTATTAAACATGCTAAATTGCCACTTTTAATTGCCTAAAATATTAGGCTTCATGAACTACACTTTGTAACATTTTGTCTAATGTAGGTCTTTAGATTGAGGGCAAATGCTATCAAATTATTTTAAACTAAGTGGATGTGTGGGTGGTGTAATGCATAGTGTCTTGAACTGGAAAATCAGAGATCTGAGTTTGAATTCTAGTTGGGTCAAATGCATTCACTTGTATGCAAATATCTTTTGAGAAAGGTATGAATCCATCTCTCTCCTAAGTTATGGGTCAAATAGTAGGACTTGTGCCTGGAAAAATCATTGTTATTTTCAAAAAACTGTTAACTGTTTTTAATGCAATATTCACACACAAAGAAAAAAAAAAAAAAAAGAATTATTCTTACAATCCAAAATATGTTTCGGTTATAAATAACTCACAAAGAAAAAGAAAATGATTTACTTAATCAATTAAACAATCAATCAATGAACTATCAAATTATTTTAAAACTAAAACTTTCACTTTCTGTTTAGCTGCAATACTAAAAGTTTAACCATTGCTTAAAACATACACAGACTTCTATTTCAGTTTAAATTTCTAAGATAATGATCAATATACACTGATTATTTGAAATTGTGATCACATCTTATTTTTATAGCTACAATGTTTCAGTCATTGTATACACCAGCCTTCTTCAGATGCTTATTGTCAGATAATGAAATCTAAGTATTCTGGTTCAGTAGAATGAAAAATGGCATCGCATGGACAAATAATCTCCCCTAGCATGAACAGTGGAATGGGATCAGCCAAGCTTTCGATTGAATGAAGGATCTGCTTTGATATAATGAAAATGTTACTGATGGCAAAAAGCATTTTAGAAAAGACTTGACAGCCTAGATGAGGAAATCAGTTTGAATAAAAAAAAATATGTTTAATAACTGTTTTGGTCAGTTTTAAAGGGAGGAAACTATGGTGAACAGTTCAAACAGAATTTGGAAATTATATTTTCTTTTTTGTCTGAACTTTTCATCATATATATATATATATATATATATATATATGAGAGAGAATTAACCTTTTTTTTAGTGTTGTTGTATTTTTATTATATAGAGGGCTTCAGGAATTTGAATTTTTTTTATTTTCATGATGGAGTATATTTGCATTGCCAATTAATATTTCTCCATATTGTGAATATGGACAGGAATGTTCCTTTAAATGTTAAACTATGGAACTTGAATCTGTCATGTGTAGTGTCCACATTTACAATATAGAGAAATATTAATTGACAATACAAATATACTCCACCATGAAAATAAAAAAACAAAAACTTCAAATTCTTGAAGCCCTCTATATAAGAATATATATATATATATATAGACACACACACACACACTCAATCTTGCCAACCTATATTTATTTTGATTGATTTAGTAATTTACTTTCAACTACTATTTAAAGACTTGACAAATAACTACAGAATGTTTTGCTTATGCCATTTCAAACAGACTAAAATGGTTAACATTAGTAGCCTTTTTAAATAGATAAATTGTTCTCCTGTCTTTTTTTAGTTCTGTGGATCATATGCTGCAAGAACCTGTGATGTGTAGCCACAAACCAATGGTCAGATTTGAGGAAGATGCTTTCTTGCTGGACAACCACAAAAGTGAGTTCTGCTCTTTATTCTTCTGAAGCTTTGACCATAAACATCTTTTGTTTATAACTTAACCAAGACCTTTTGCATTTAAAATCTGTAAACCCAGTGGCAATATATTAACTCATTCTTTTGCTACAAATCACAAGCACTCATGTTGTTAATATTTATTAACAATATTCTAAGTTGACCTCATTAAATGTTGTTTGGGTCAAGAATAAAACTGTCAATATGTGAACAAAGAGGGATTTATCTTTCTCTTAGACTTAGTTTTCTGACCTCAAAGAGAGTTCACATGTTTTTTTCAAAGCTCCAATAAGTTAATTGATTTTAAGTTTAACTGAAAAAAAGTAAATATTGCTTAAAAGTAATAATTTAATATAATTTACAATTATTATTTATTTTATTTCATTTATTATAAACATTATGATTATTATATTTATCTAGAGTTATATATGTATTGTTTATTATTTCTTTCAAATTTTTCCATAGTTACCATGTTTTTCTGTATAAGTATTTGTTTTTTACAACTAAACTGAAGATTGTTTGTCTTATTTTTATATTGTGTTTTTGCTAAGGTTTTATTTAGCAACTTTGCATTTTCTATTCTCGTTCATTTTTTATCAATTGATAGTTTAGGTGTTAGTACAGACAAAAAGATAGTATGAATCATTTTATTGTATAATGATACCATAATCTCTGAATTATATTTTCATTTTTTTGTTATCTTTCTCCAAAATTTTCAATATTTGTGTTTATGCATAACTATTTCTTAATTTGTCTTGTTTACAAGTGTTTTTGTTTACCTAACATTTTATTTACACTGTTTACATTTTTTTGGACTGTTGTCGTCATCTTTATTGGAGAAAATGAAACAGATTCTCAGTGACTTTACTGAGTGACTCTGGAATGTGAAGGTTATGTCAGCCCATTTCAGGAAATAATCATGAAAAGAATGTTTACACTAATATCATCAAACCAATCTTCAGAAACATCAACATACAGATTGACTATTCTGGGTTCAGTTTGAAATTCAAACAAATATGACCTGAAGATGGCCAGAGTGTACAGTAGCCGAAACATTGTGAGTATGACAATAAAGATGAGGTCAACAGTCCAAACAATGTAAACAGTGTAAATAGTTACAATACCTCATCTCAGAAATATCAACAGATCCTGAATAAGGTCTGGAGTGTACAACAACTGAAACATTGTGAATATAGCAGTAAAGATGAGGACAAGAGTCTGAACGATGTAAATAGTTACAATACGTTATCGCAGAAATATAGACAGATGCTAATGTTTTATATATTAAAAAAAAATCTTAATTTTTTGGGGGGGGAGGGACTTCTAAAACATGTAATGTATATAATGTTTATATATGTACATTATCTATGTTCAAAAGGTGGTCATAGATCTGGGTGATAGTGGGAACAAGCTCCCACTGTCTATAAAATGCTTCTGTGGTACCCATCTCAAATAGCCTCTGACAACTAAATTCAACTCCAAGCCAGAGAAGAGAGAAGATGGACAACTGGCACCTCATAACCAGCTGCTTCAGGTTCAGAAGGCAGTTGGCTGTCAACATTGACAACTTTTCAGCAACTCCTGCAGCCAAGCTGTCCTCAAATGTAATGACCTGTATTCCTTTGAATCTTGTTGATATGACCCAGAGGCAAACCATGTAGTCTGGGCAGCACATAGCTTCCATATACCATTGCCCTGGCCTGTGCTTTGGAGAGGTCATGCCAGCCTCCCCACCAATAAACTGAATTTTGACCAACCAGAGTGCTACTGTCTATCTTGCAAGATAAGCAGATGTCTACTTAGATATTGTTTACTTTTCTCTCTCTCTCTGATATTGTTTACTTTTCTCTCTCTCTCGGATATAGTTTACTTTTCTCTCTCTCTCGGATATAGTTTACTTTTCTCTCTCTCTCGGATATAGTTTACTTTTCTCTCTCTCTCGGATATAGTTTACTTTTCTCTCTCTCTCGGATATAGTTTACTTTTCTCTCTCTCTGGATATAGTTTATGAACTTTTTCTCTCTCTCTGATATAGTTTACTTTTCTCTCTCTCGGATATAGTTTAGGTTCTCTCTCTCTGGATATAGTTTTCTTTCTCTCTCGGATATAGTTTACTTTTCTCTCTCTCGGATATAGTTTACTTTTCTCTCTTAATTCTGATATAGTTTACTTTTCTCTCTCTCTCGGATATAGTTTTTAAAATTTCTCTCTCTCTCATATAGTTTACTTTTCTCTCTCTCTCCTCGATATAGTTTGGTTTTCTCTCTCTCACCTATAGTTTACTTTTCTCTCTCTCTCGGATATAGTTTGATTTTCTCTCTCTCTCGGATATATTTAGTTTACTTTTCTCTCTCTCGGATATAGTTTACTCTCTCTCTCGGATATAGTTTACTTTTCTCTCTCTCTCGGATATAGTTTACTTTTCTCTCGGATATAGTTTACTTTTCTCTCTGATATAGTTTACTTTTCTCTCTCTCAGATATGGTTTCCTTTTCTCTCTCTCTCTCAGATATGGTTTCCTTTTCTCTCTCTCTCTCAGATATGGTTTCCTTTTCTCTCTCTCTCTCAGATATGGTTTCCTTTTCTCTCTCTCTCTCAGATATGGTTTCCTTTTCTCTCTCTCTCTCTCAGATTTGGATTACTTCTCTCTCTCTCTCAGATTTGGATTACTTCTCTCTCTCTCTCAGATTTGGTTTACTTCTCTCTCTCTCTCAGATTTGGTTTATTTCTCTCTCTCTCTCTCAGATTTGGTTTATTTCTCTCTCTCTCTATCTCTGATTTTGTTTCCTTGCTCCTTCTGCCTTGCTTTGTTTATTTTTTCAGCTTTTTTACTTGTTTACTTTTTCTCCATGCTGTGTTTGTTTACTTTTCTCACTCTCTCTTAGACTTTGTTTACCTCTCTCTCTCTCTGATTTATTTACATTTGTTTACATCTCTCTCTCTCTATAATTTTTCTCTCTCAGACTTTGTTTACTTTTATCAGTTTCTCTCTCTCTCTCTCTCAGACTGTTTATTTTTCTTCTCAAACTTTTACTTTTCTCTCTCTCAGACATGATTTACTTTTATCTCTATCTGACTTTGTTTACTTTTCTCTCTGTCTTACAAATTTTAATTATCAGCATAAAGTGGAAATATCTCTTCCATAGCAATTTCTCATGGTAACTCTAACAAGATCATTGGTGAGATTCTGTAAAGGTTTGAATATTTAAGGTAACTGAAATTGTTAAAATTTGTATCCAATTAATTGCAAATATGAATTGTTAGCTTTTCTAGTTGATAAAAAATAGCTGAGAAAATCCCTGAGTTGTGCTATATTTTGTTATATTGTTTTTTACTATTTGTACTAATGTTATTGTTTTGTACTAATTTTATTATTGCTTTGCATAATTAGACAAGCATAAAATGTATGTATAAAACAAGGGTAAAATCTTATTGAATAACTCCTATTTGTAATTGTTTAATAGTATGTTTTTATATATAACTTATTTACAGGTTCAGAACTGTTTATTTTCCTATTGACAAGCATTGTTTGAATCAGGATTTCAGATGCTGATTTTCAAGGCATACTGTCTTCATTTTAGTGATTCATGTAACAGTTTTCTCCTTTCATCATACAGTTACTAAGCTTAGTAAATATATCTATCTGATTTATATTGATATTTACTTAGGCTTACCATAAATCTTGGTTTGAGTAAGACTCCCATGGTGTCCCAATTAGTTTATTGTGGATTTTGATCCAAAAGTATAAACCTGTCATTGTTAGTGGGAATTTTTGTATATTAAATATTGCAGTGCTGTTAAATTTTTAAATTCATAAAAAAAGTTATCAAATTTATGTTGAATGTAACTAAAAATGTAAAAATCTGTATATGGCATAATATATATCGGAAAAATGAGATTGAAAAAAGTTAACTGCTTGCGATCAAACATTTTTAACGCGATGGTTCAAGAACAAGCGGCAACAAGTCCAATATGAAGGTTAACAACATTCAATGCAATGTAAACAATGCTGTGAAGGAAGCAGAACAAAAAGACTCAAAAGTTTATAGAAATTAGAAAGACAAACTTTATTTTACAAGAAAAATCCAGAAAGAGAATAATACATGAAAAAGGTTGATCTAATGATGGTTTGATAGTGCTATGGGAATTTTCCCAGCCATTTAACATGAAATATTTAAATAAAATAAGATGATCATTGTACTTACATTACAATTACAAACATTTACATTACAAACAGCAGAAAAGAAAAGAAAAAAAGGAATACTCTACTTATTTTCTGTTAGAATTTTAATTAATAACAGTTTCAAACGACCTCTAGGAGCCTTAAAATTGTATTATAAAATTTGATTTAGCCTTTTAAGAAAAAATATCCTTACAATAAATACCTTTTATTGTTGAATGGAAGACCATTTCATTTTCTGTTGGAAATTTGTTTGATCTTTCAATGAGTTGAAGGAGGAAGGGATGATGACATCGCTCCCTTTCTGCCAATTAGGCAAGTTTCTCAAGCCTCTTGCTGAAAACGCCCAAACTCTCTGCCAATCTCTGTTGGAAGTCTGTCTTGCTCTCTGTGTCTTTTTGCTTCTCTCTCAAAAACATGCAGATTCATCTTTTTATGCATGTGTAAGGTGTGACTAAATCCAGACAAGTCACAAGATGACCATATATGGGCAAAGTAAACAAATGTCACTCCTTTCCATTTTCCTGTCAATCAACCTTTTTATTAAAAATAAACACAGATGGTAACCAATTGTAAAAACTGTGAGGCCATTCCAATACAATGTTGCAAAACCTTGCAAGATAATTGAAGAAGAGTAGATAACATGAATCTTATTGGTAGACTGACTCAGTAGATTGGGCACTAATGAACATTAGCTGTATCTTCATTTCTTTTGAATGGTACAATACAATATCTTCAGTTTGGGAACTTTCTAATTCTACCTTGTAAATGTTGATTTGCTTTTTTTAAAAAAAATTATTTTGTTTTTCTATCTTATCAGAATGTTTAATTTTTAATTTTTTTTTTTTTTTTTTTTTTATAGGTATGCTTCCTGACACAATTGTGCCTGGGGTTCACTTGGGTTTGTATTCAACTGAACATGAACCCATTGTTCGGTAACAATCCCCCCGCCTTCCTTTCCTTCTTTTTTTATGACTCAGCTGCAAAGAACAAAAGGAAGCAGAAAGAAATGCAATAATGAAAAAACAAAAAAAAAAAAAAATATCACCTGGTAATTCCTCCCACTCCCTGACATTCCTTAAATGAAAAATGAACAAATATTTTTTCTTTCTTCTGAAATTTGTTCTGAAACTTTAGGAAAGAAAGAGAGACGTACATGTCCCTTTAATGTATTCTCTCCTTATGATTCACTACAAGATGTGCAGTGAATAGTCACATCTACACTTGTGATGTTCACTATCAAAGAAAGACTAAATCGAGAAAGATAAAGTCTTGAAATATTTCTGTTCCAAAAATGTCGTTCAATATTCTTACAAATGAGTCAAGTGCTAAATTTACTTGCTGCCTTAAGAATGCCAAGGTTATAGTTTTACATTTTACTTTCTATTTATTTTATTTTTATTTACTTATTTTTTTTTTTTTTTAAATTATTTTCGCTAAAATTCATCCCAAAATTTATAAGACACTGTCAAAAAATAAAAAAAAAAATAGACCCAACTTAAATCAATATTATTTGCCTGGGAGACTTGGAATCATTTTAGGCAATAACACAAAAACAAAATTTGCCTAAGTCACTGAGGGTTATTGTCCTGTACAACTTTGTCTGTGTCTAAATATCTGTCTCAAATAATTGTTACTGCAGAAGTTTGACAGTGTCTCTTGCTGGGATTTTTCTCACCTTTTTGCTTAATCTGTCTATAGTTTTCGCAGTGTTTATTTCTTGAATATTAATTATTCCCAGCATTATTTAATGCAAATTTTCAAGAATTTAAATGCTTCATTACTTACCTCCCTTTTTGATTTTTTTTTTTTTTTTTTTTTTTTTTTTTTAATGAGGGAGGTGTAAAATAGATCCAATGAATTTTAACTCCATCTGTTCCAGGTGCTTTTTTTTTTTTAATCTAGAATCAGATTTTAACAGCTGTAAATGAGTTAAATTCTACAGTTAAGATTTTAATCCAAATTTGAAGTAGGTGGGTGAGGAAGCTTAAAAAAATGACTTTTCCTATATTTGTATGAGTAATACCTTTGTAATCATTCACTGAGAAGAGTGAAATTTAACAATTTCCAAAATAATTTTTTATACCTGATAATTTTGAAATTGAATTTACCATTTTCCAAAACATTTTGAATAACCTTGGTATTTAATAAGGAAGATCTCTTTTGTTGAATAATGTGAAATATATAATCTCCGGACCATATATACAATGAACTGTTTGCCATTTCTAGTCTGTGTATAATCACAAAGTTTTTATTTAAATAAATATATATATATATATATATATATATATATATACACACACACACAAACATTTTACTAAAGATTTGATTTGATAGACCACAACACAAAAGAAATGCTTGTCAGATTTGATTTTATGTATTTTTTACTTTTTGTTTTGACTCTAATTTGGAGAGTATTTTGTCTTTAGTTTGGAATCGGGCACATAATTGTGACATCTTTCATATTTGTTTCCTTTAGATAAAAAAAAATAATGAGGAATTGTCAAAGCAGTAGACTTATACTTTCTTTGTTGAAGTCTTAGAAATTTTCTAATGAAGAAAATCTTTTTGGTTATTGCATAAGTTTTTTGTTTTGTTTTGATTTCTCTAGTCATGTTATAGGCATAGATTTTTAAAACCTTTGATAGTCTTTTTAAGGTGTAAAAATGCTAATAGTTTCATGACAAAGAAAACTCGTGAATATAGACAACATGAGAAGAATTTTTAACTTGAATAGAAAATAGCAAAAATTATAAAACCCTGGTTTTACAATTACTCTTTAAATTTTTATGTAAGCAAGATAATGTTATTTTAAAATGATTCTTTTAGACATGAATTGACATTGCGTTTAATTTGATTTCATTTTGGTCACTAACCTTGGAGCTATTTTTCAGGTGTCTGTTTAGAAAGGATCAGGGAATATTGAATAGAAGTGCTTTTATTTTATCCAATTTATATATATTCTTCTTTTCTGAAAGTTGTGTGTTTAATCCCTGAGGTTAGCAATAGTACAAGAGCATACAATGAAGAAAGAGGAGTGATAATGCAAGTAGAAAGGAGACAATTACAAAAGTCAGAGATCTTTAGAAAGATACTGGATGTGTAAAAAAGCAAAAGAAAAGAAGTTATAACCTTTCTTCAAACAAAAAGTCCAGTTCCTTATTCTCCACTGGTTCATAGTTAATACATACAATTACATACACACAATTAATACATACAATTACATACACACAATTAATACAATTACATACACACAATTAATACATACAATTACATACACACAATTAATACATACAATTACATACACACAATTAATACATACAATTGCATACACAAATTAATACATATACAATTACATACACACAATTAATACATACAATTGCATACACACAATTAATACATACAATTGCATACACACAATTAATACATACAATTGCATACACACAATTAATACATACAATTGCATACACACAATTAATACATACAATTGCATACACACAATTAATACATACAATTGCATACACATAAAAAAAACAAAAATATATCTGAAAGTAAAGTTATTAAAATACATTCATTCAATATTGCCTTTTGGTCCACAGATGAAATTCATACTAAATGTCTGAAAGCATAGTTACCAAAATTATTAAGATGAAATAGTTTTCTTTTTTTTTTTTTTTTAATATCACTTTAAATTGAGGAAAGATTTATCTTAAGTAAAATTCAACATTGTTTTACATTTTTGTTATAAAAGATATTTTGGGTAAAATTAAAATAATACAAACCAAAACTCTGAATACATTGGGAAGCCTCAAGAAATGCATACTTGAATTATGAAATCAAGCAAATATTCTTTATCTGTCTATATCTCTGAGATG